TATTCGTTCCAGTGTTTTTGAATGCGTTTCAAATTTGAAAAAGAAAAAACGACTGTCTCACTGGTATGTTTTTGGAAATTTTGACAAATGTTTGGAAGTAATTGAAGTAAGTTTTGAACATTAGCCAATATTTATATTAAAGATTAGCGAATTGGCGGTTTGATTGAAGGTAGAATAAAATGCTTGACTCTTTTTAGAGTGGTAAGACCGGTTAAAACGGTAGTGTTTTATGGTGTTTATATATTCATTGTTCTAATAGTACCAGATAACAGCATGTCTTGCGATCATATATTTATACATAGAGGTAATATATCAATGAAATCGCTGGGGTATAGTTTCAATTTGCTTGATTTATCTTTCAGTTTTTCTGGTATTCCATTCATCAGAGCTGTAATTCTAATTTTCTTTGAAGATATTTTTTTTTTCTTTTTCACTGTTCTTCTTATTCATATTAAAATTTAGTCATTTGTTTACGTCTATTGTTTTTTTAAATTTTTTATTATTTACTTTTGCTCAAAGGCAGTAAAAAGAAATTGAAATGTTTGCCACTTTGTCACCTTTAAAAAATCTGTTTTTATGCTTGATATTTGAAGTTCTGTACCCTTCACCGCTTGAAATATTCAGAAGTCTCTAATGCTTAGAAGCTGTATTAGTGCCTGCATTTAATTTTTTGAAAAGTACGGGTGTTGATAACTGCTATGAGTTAACTATTTTATCAGTTTGGTTTGACACCAAATTTATAAATTGTTGATATTCTCAGAGTTAAAATATCAGCTGACAATCGTTCAGCACCATTATTTTTTGTTGCACTGTAACAATTTGACGAAATTTTTAATACTGCTAGAAAAGCAAGCTTTACTTTTTGCATCTAAAACGGTAGCATTTTTGCTGTTGCATTCTTAACATTTTCTTACACAATGGCTTTACTCAATTTTTTTATTGAGCAGTACTGAAAACTAAGTGACAACGATAGAACTGCATCGAACAATTAGAAAGCAACAATTTCTATGGAGGCAAAAGCAAATTTTGTGTGTTTGAAATCGCTTGTTTTAACATAGAACTTTCAAAAGTTTTTAGTGAAAGATAAGTATATGTTTTTTGTGGATACGTTAAAGTGTAAGTCTCAAAAGGATTTATAATTAATTTATGATATTTACAAGAAATAAATAAGACACTAGAACATTCAAGTGACGGTATCAGCTCTTCTCATTGGGATCAGTTTTCTGGTTCGAGCGTCTACTCTTCGGTAGGCTTCAATGGTGATTGCCCAGTCGTAGCTGACTGTTGTTAATGTTGATACATCGTAGCGGTAGGGCAGACGATATACCTTCCTAACTCTTTTCAGTCGTCTTCCTGCTTCGTCAGATCGCGAAATATCTCTTAATTTTCACTTAGTAATATTAACGTTTGAAAATTAGAACTCATAGACAGTATTGTTATTTTTGCTATTGCGCTTACCGCGAAGCATTGAGAACGAGCATGTTTAGATTTCTAATGATTTCGATTTCAATTCTCCAAAAACACGTGCTATCGCCTTCAGAGGTACTGCAAAGTCCAACAGTCCAGCTAAAGTCAGAATCTGAGATCTTTTCAAACTTCTTTGTCTGCAATAAAAATTGTCATTTTTAAGAATGAGATGATTGTAGAGGTTGATGCTTAATGAAATTGAAGTAGATTTGTTGCTACGAGTGTTTGCAAGAGGGTGGGGAGGTTATTATATACTGATATAGAATAATTTCCTAGAATTTTTTGTTTTTATAAGCGTAGGTTCGTGGTTCCTGGCATAGGTAGGCAGGAGAAGTTTCTCAAATACCAAAGGGAAAATTCTCGTTTGCACTGGTTGTCGTTGTGGTGGATTTGGAATTTTTGATAACCATAGAATCGGATAAAAGTATGTTTTCTGCTGATACATTACATTTTTTCTTTTTTTTTTTTTTTTTTTTTTTTTAAATTTTGAGAAGATGATTGGAACGTTTTTCATTGTTTATTTCTCAAACAAAAACTTTTCAGATCTTAGGACAAGGTGTTATCGTACGAAAAATTTGTTAAGCAACTATTGCGTATGGCAAAAGTGCTCAGATTTTAAAGCATCAAAATGCGTAGCAGAAACTGCTGCTTTCAATCTTAAGGAATTTTCTCTCCTAACTGAAAAACAATATTCTGACTGATATTCAAACGCAATATAAATTTTGGGCTATTTTTACGCTGATCACGTTATTTCCAGGAGTACAATGCGTTAAAAATTTCTGAAATAAATTTGTCCTTTTATGATTTCTTACGCGTTCTTACTGCATTTTGTCTCACTTATATCACCTTTAGATACTCAGGTATTAGAATTCAGTAGAAGATAAAATTAAATGTGCGTTTAACACAGTCTTTCTGAAAGAGCAGTATGTCAAATAATAATTTATTTGCAGAGAAAACAAAACCGCAGAAATGAAAAGGTGAGCGAGGATGTAGGCATACAGTGCCTTTCATTTTACGAACTTTTGTCGAGGTAAAACTTGCAGTGTCAGGTATGAAGTTTGTGGGATTAAGGCGCCCAATTTTTTGCAGAATAAATCTCGTGTCAACGATCTTGTTTTATGGAAATCTAGCAGGCTATTGAAGTGGAAATATTGATTCTTTTCTATCTTTATCAGAGCATTTTCAAGAAAGTTGGTTTGGTAATCTGTGACGTGCTGCTATTAAAGTCTCACTGGCTAGCAGAGAAAGTATTTTGGTATTTTTACCACGTTTTTTCTTTGTTTAAAACAGGTTTATTAAAGAGATTTATTGAAAAGACTGATTGGAGTGTAAGCAGTTTTTATCTGTATCGATATGGGTCGTGATCACTGAAACGAGAGGAGCCGCTTTTGGTTTTTTTTGTAGTTTAAGAAGAACGACAAAAGCCGAATTTTGTGAAATTGGACGGAATGAACTGTGAGTTGCTTCAAATATCTTGGGAAGAAATTTAGAAAAAAAAAGCCGGAGTAGAAGATGCTTACCGTTCCCCTGGATTCTCCTGTGCCGCCGTAGCTGAAGGGAAGACAAACAAAAAATTTTTCTGATGACAAAAATCCCCGAGCTACCCGGTCTTCGCAGAATGGCCAGTCCCAAACGAAGGTTTCAGAAAACTGTTGTTCTTTCTCTGATTCCTGCCTGAAAATTCTGATAAAGGTGAACAAATAAGTCAGTACTTTGATGTTTAGAATTAGTTCTCTGTTTTTAACTTGCTCCAAGAATGTTTACATTCTTAGAACCGAAAATTGGGATTATTTCAGTGGCTTAAAATTCCTTTTTTACAAATCGGACTAATTGAATTCTGGCCTCAGCACATTCGTTGCTGCCGAGGACGGCTGTTAAAAATGTGTTAAGGTCACCGTCTTTTTTATACTTTAAGGAGTAGACAGCTGAA